CCCAGGCGCCCCCCTTTTTTTTTTTTGAAGTAAGCTTTTTGCCCTACGTGGGATTTGAACTCAGGACCCCGAGATCAAGAGTTGCATGTTCTGGGGTGCCTGGGTGGCTCAGTCGTGAAGCGTCTGCTTTCGGCTCAGGTCATGATCCCAGGGTCCTGGGTTGGAGCCCCGCATCGGGCTCCCTGCTTGGTGGGAAGCCTGCTTCTCCCTCTCCCACTCCCCCTGCTTGTGTTCCCTCTCTCGCTGTGTCTCTCTCTGTCAAATAAATAAATAAAATCTTGAAAAAAAGAAAGAAAGAAAGAAAAAGAGTTTCATGTTCTACCAATTGAGCCAGCCAGGTGCCCCAATTAACCTCTTTGTACCTCAGTTTCAGTATCTTTTTTTTTTTTTAAGATTTATTTATTTATTTTGAGAGAGAGAGTGTACCTGAGGGTGGGGAGGCAGAGGGAGAGAATCCCTAAGCAGACTCCCCACTGAGCTCGAAACTCTGGGTTTAATCTCATGACTCTGAGATCATGACCTGAGCCAAAATGAAGAGTTGGATGCTTAACTGACTGAGCCACCCAGGCACCCCACAGTTTCAGTATCTTTAAAATGAGGATAGGGGCGCCTGGGTGGCTCAGTCGGTTAAGCGACTGCCTTCGGCTCAGGTCATGATCCTGGAGTCCCAGGATCGAGTCCCGCATCGGGCTCCCTGCTCGGCGGGGAGCCTGCTTCTCCCTCTGACCCTCTCCTCTCTCATGCTGTTTCTCTCTCGCTCGCTCTCCAATAAATAAATAAATAAAATCTTAAAAAATAAATAAATAAAATAAAATGAGGATAACAATAGTACTTGCCTCACTGGATTGTTGCAAGGATCTCAAGAAGTTAGTGTATGTAAAAAACTTAGAACTTACATCATATTATGTAAGTGTTCGTTATTTCTACTATACACTAACTTCTGGTGATAACATGAGGACTAAATGACAGTCCCTGACCTCAAGGGGTCGACATTTATGGGAAGACAGACTTCACAGAAAACCTGGAAATAGGCAATTCCACTCAGAGTTCAGGTTCAGAGTAAGGGTAGGGGAGCCACCAGAGAGGGAGCCCCTCACCCTCAGGTCACGGTGGGTTTTTTGAGGATGGAAGTCTTGGGTCTTGAAGGGGGAGGGGAGTAGGTGCTAACCAGGGGAAAGGGGCCAGGAATGGGAAGGACCTTCCAGACCCAAGGAAGAGCTCGCAAGAAGCTCAGAGGCCAAAGAGATCACTTTGTGTTCTGTTTAAGGGTCCTGTCTCCAAATTCTTGACTGTCTCTCCAGCTACCCACTAAATTCTCCAACTCCTTTTTCCTCTCTGGAAGTAATTCTTCCTTCTCCTCCATCTTCTATCCTTTGTCTACTTTTCTGAGTCCCATTTTGACCCTGTTCTGATGTGAGGACCCAAGGTATTAAGATGAGGGAGCAAGGGTAGGCTGGAGGAGTATTGTAGTCCTGGTGTTTTACTTTTCCCCTTTTTACTCAGATGAGGCATCTGGCTGTTGGGGGAGACAGGGGCCAGAGAACGGACAGATGCCCTAGCTCCCAGCCTCAGGGTCCAGGCCCAGGAAGTGGATGAGCTCACGCCACAGCCTGTGGAAGTTTGTGGGAACCAGAGGACATGCGGGCAGGCAGTCTCAAAAGAAGTGAAATCTACCTGCTTCCCAGCTGCCCACTGGTCAAGTTTAAATAAGAGGGAGCAGGGGGTGGGGTGGGGTGTGAGAGCCTGGGATTAGATTACAGGCCATGGCAAGCAAGAGTTGGGAGGGTTTGGGGGAGGGAGTCAGGGCTTAGGCTGGGGAGGAGACTTTTCCATCCTTGGGGGAAGATCTATAGAACAGGACCCCACCTGTGTCAGCAAAGCTGATGATCTCATATTCCTGTTCCCCGTCAGCCTCTGGAAGCGTCCCCTGCGGGGGCCCACGGAGGCGCTGCATCGCGGTCCTCAGAGCAGCTCTGGACACAGGCCGGTTCAGTGTTGGACGCTGGCTGAGGCGCAGTTTGTCCAAGATGCTTCTCTTGGCCAGGTCAAGAAGCAGCTCCCGCTGATGATCCAGGTCCACAGCAGGTCCTCCACATGCCAGACACTGGCTGTCAGCTCTGGGAATGGCCACTGGGGCTGGAGCCAGGAATAGGAAGGCCAGGAGTAATGAGGAGATCATTGCTGGAGGAGGCCCTCTTTCAGTGATACGGTTGAGACAGAGCTGTAAAACTGGGGCTCAGGATCTCAGCAGCTGCGGCCTCACCTCCAACCTGGCCGCCAGGGGTCCTGGAAGGAGAGTGTGTCCAGCTGGCATGGCTCCTTGTTGCAGGGGATAGAGCCGCTAAACATCTGACTTGAGAGATGAAGCCAGTTACAGGTAGAACTTGGCAGAAGCCTCCAACACACAGTCAGTGAAAGTACAGAGTGGGGGATGTGAGGGGAGGTTGTTTAGTTTGGGGAAAGAAATGTTCCTGGGCCAGTGCTGGGAGACAGTGGGTTACCCATGGAAGCTGCCAGACCTGGGGACAAAGGTTAGAGATGAAATTCCTCTTCAGATCAAAGGCCTTGCTGGGAAGCCTGGAGGAAAAGGGAGAGATGAGAGGTTTTGAGACAGAGCGTTAAAGAGTGACTCTCAAACAAGAGGGGTCCTTGGCAGGGCACTTTGTGTCATTGTAATGCAGATAACAAGACTTTCATTTTCCTTTGCCAGGTACTTCTCAAAGGCCCACTGCCCCCTTTCTCCCTTCCTGAGGCTCGTAATGCAGACTCCTTTGTTAGCCACCCCTCCCATCCCCACCCCACTGGGCTCAAAACTAGCCAGTATGAAGGCTAAGGGAAAGGGGGGAAGTGTTCTAGCCAGGTCTTCTGTATCCTCAGGGGCAAGTCTGAAGGTGGGAAAGGGGCTTGAGAGCTAGATTTGCTCACCCTTTGAGGATTCTTCTATTTAGGAAAGGGAGTTTTGAGATTTCTCAGAATCCCTGGTTCTCCAAAGTTCCTCACCAGTGGCTCTTCAGGGAAGGACCTGTGCTCCCACAGTAGGGATTTACCTGGCAGGAATGGTGGGTGGAGTTAGGAGGATGGGTTTTTATTTTAATTAATTATTTATTTATTTTTAAGATTTTATTTATTTGTCGGGGGGGGGGCAGAGAGCACAAGCAGGGGGAGGCGCAGGCAGAGGGAGAAGCAGGCTCCCCGCTGAGCAAGGAGCCTGATGTGGGACTCCATCCCAGGACCCTGGGATCATGACCTGAGCCAAAGGTGGGCGCTTAACCAATTGAGCCACCCAGGCGTCCCAGGAGGATAGGTTTTTAAACTAAATGACCTTGGTCAAAATCCTGTCTCTTCCTTTTATTAGCTGTGTGACTCTAGGCAAGTTACTTGAACTTTCTTGCTTTCATTTTTTCATTGGAGAAATGGGAAACATGATTACCCATGATTCCAAAATCCAAAAGACCCCCATAATACACTTTTTTTTTTTTGTAACTCATGGTGAACTGAACAGAGGGGAGGTTATCTATGATCTTTTAAAAAAAGTACTGAGACTACTATACATTTTTACTCCAGAAATATCAATTATTTGATTATGGGATACCCCTGGGGGTATTATATAATATACAATATGTGTATCATTTTACCTTTCTAAAACTTGAAATTTTCTGAATTCTGAAACATGGCTGGCCCTATTGACTTTGAATATGGGATTAGAGATCTGTAATGATTATTTCAGAGTTTTGAGATTTAAATAATTTTGTAAAGCGCTTACAGTGGCTGGCACATAGCAAGTTCTTAACAAAAATTTATTATTTCTGCTATGCAGGTTTGTTTGTGGGCCAAATATTTCCACCAATATTTGCCCTTCTGGGCTCCTCTTTCCTAGATGCCATGCCCCTAATCTCTGTCTGCAGTGCAGTCACTTAGCCAGTCATCTTTGTTGCTTACCTTATATTCCTAGCATTGCACACAGTGCCTGATCTATTATATAAGTGTTTAAAGGTGTGGGAATTTTGCCCATTTTATTGAAAATTAACCAGACATCACCGTATATGTTTAAGGCACAAAGCACATAACTTCTCTGTAGCTTACTCCATCTCCCTTACCTCTAACAACCAATTGCTCCTTGTTTCCACAGCACATTGAACATATCTCTATTTATAGACTTACATTGTACTGTAATTATTTATTATTTTTTTGCCTACTGCAGTTCTTGCAGCATAGTAAATATTTAATAGCCAAATTCTATCAATGTAAGACTACAGTTCTTCTTTGAGGGAGTTGGTCAGTAAATGATCCAAGTCCATCTCATCATTAATTTAAATTGATTCTGCCTAGAATGGACAGAATGGGGGAGGTTGCAAACTCAAATGACTCTTAAGGAAAAGAACTGTACCTTGGAAGGGGGTGGTAAGTGATTTTAATAAGATGGACTTAAATCTTTTTATAGAATTAAATTTTTACATCTGAAAAAAACGGATATCCACCTACTACATGATCTTTGTCCATTTATACTACAAATATTTATTGCAGGAGTTACTGTCCTAAGTGAAAGGCTATTTTGAAAGTGCTCTGTAGACTTAAACTACTTTACAATAATTAGTATTATGTTTAAATCCTGGGTGAATCTGACAGGCTTCATGGACTTGAGGACTGAGGATCGCAGTGGATCTGGATTGCTGACTCGAGACACAGGTAACGCGGAGGGAGCGAGCGAGTGCGCTGGCGTGTGCGTGTGTGCCGGCGAGGACAGCGTGTGGCGAGCCGGGGCGAGCGGGTGACTAGGTAGCGGGCGTCTGCAGCAGTGGAGAGAGGCACAGAGGAAGCACGGACGCACGGGGCGCAGGACGCGCTGACGATTACGCCGGACGTGGTGACGTAGCGCGCAGGCCGCAGCGGGGGGCGGACTCTGGGCCTTTCTTCCCTTCTGATTCTCCCCCTCCCCCCTTTTCTCCCTTTCCGGGTTTGGTTCCCCCCTTTTCTCCCCCTCTCCCCCTTCCTTCCCAAGCCCCTTTCCCCTCCCCCGCCCCAATCCCCCCTGCTCCCCCGCCCTGGGCCCTGGGGAAACCCCCGCCGAGAAGAGCCCGCCCCCAGAAGCGCGCCGCCGCCGGCCGTCGGGGCCGAGCCGCAGCCGAGCGGCCGTGGGCCCGGGCGGCGGGCGGAGACGCGGGCGCCCTCCCCGCTACGGCCCGCGTGAGGTGAGGCCACCTCCCGGCCGAGGGGGCGGGCGGCGCGGGCAGCCCGTGGGGAGGGGGCGTGGCGGCCGCGCGGGCTGGCGGGCGGAGGCCCCCCTGGCCTGGGTTCCCCGCGCTGGAGCTACCCGGGCCTGGGGGCGGTGGGGCAGGGCCGGAACCCACCGTGAAGGACGGCCCCGAGGCCCGAGACGCCCCGAGTGTGCGCGGGGAGCGCAGGCGAGAAGCGGGGGAATGGGGGGCGCGGGGCAGAGGGCGGGGGGCTGGCGCCACCTGTGGCCTGTGCGGTGGGACCTAAAAACTGTTGCGCCCTTGTAGTGCTTGGGGGTGACTAGCTCCATGTGTTTCTTGGGTTTCCGTTTTCCTTCGAGCATTGGAAAAATGGGAGGGAAAGGTATTGAAGCGTTTCAAATCTTGCCGGTATCCGAGTTATTAGAGGACAGGGATCCGAGTTGGAACATACAGGGATATGTTTCTGGAGCTTAAAAGTTGGGCCTACTTTAGGCTCGTAACTCACTCTTGAGCCTCTTAAAACTCTTACTGCTTTTGGTGAGTCCACAGAATAATTATTCACTCAGTGAATTGTTCTTGGATAATGATGAGACATGTTTTCCAGGTTTATTGAGAAATAATTGACATACATTACTGTTTATGTTTAAGGCACACAGCATGATGGTTTGATTTACGTATATTGTAAAATGATTGTTGAAATAGAAATAGGTTCAGCTAACATCCATCATTCTTGTAGAGATACAATAAAAAAAAGGAAAGAAAAAAAATTTTTTTCCTTGTGACGAGAACTCTTAGGATTTACTCTATTAACAACTTTCCTATAAATCTCATAGCAGTGGCAACCATAGTCATCGTGTTGTACATTACATCCCTACTGCATATAACAAAATTGTGCCTTTTGACCGCCTTCCTCCAATTCCCCCTCATCTTACCCTCTGCCTCTGGTAGCCACAAGTCTGATCTCTTTTTCTATGAGCTTGGTGTTTTGTTTTTTTCGTTTGTCTTTTTAGATTCCACATTAAGTGAGATCGTACACTGTTTGTCTTTCTTTGACTTACATGCCTTCGAGGCCTGTCCATGTTTGTCACAAATGGTAGAATTTCCTCATTTTTTACGGCCAATATTCCATTATATATATATATACACACACACCACAACTTTATCCATTCATTCATCCATGGACATTAAGGTTGTTTTCCTGTCTTTGCCAATGTCAGTAATGCTGCTATGAACATGGGGACTCAGATAGCTTTCCGAGTCAGTGTTTTTGTTGGTGTGGGAAAATTTAAATTCAGATCCCAGTTGGTGAATGTTCTTGTATAAATTATTTTTCAAATAGACAACTGAAATAGAGAAGCCTGAGTTCTGTCTGATGTTGGTGGGCACATGGAGACTGGGGAAGAAGGAGGTGACAGTTCTACTTCCAGAATATCACACATTCCTAGCATTTTATTGTATTTTTGGATAGTCAAATTGGCACTTGAATTAGTTGTTAGTGGCTCCTCTTTCTTTCTCATGCATTTTTTTTTTTCTTCCATTTCCTTTCTCCAGTATTTCCTTTTTTTCTCTTTCTGGAGCCTTCAAAACAAAAATGACTTAAATAGGGTGCCTGGGTGGTTCAGTTGGTTAAGCGACTGCCTTTGGCTCAGGTCATGATCCTGGAGTCCTGGGATCGAGTCCCACTTCGGGCTCCCGGCTCTGCGGGGAGCCTGCTTCTCCCTCTGACCCTCTCCCCTCTCATGCTGTTTCTTAATCTCTCTCTCAAATAAATACATAAAATCTTTAAAAAAAAAAAAGAGTTAAATAGGGGTTAAGATCTATATTATAAATATATAATAATATATATTATATATTATATATAATATATATCCCACTCTAAGATCTATATTATAAATCTCCACGATTTGTTTATTTATTTATTTTAAAGATTTTATTTATTTGAGAGAGAGAGAGCACAAGCCAGGGGGAGGAGCAGAGGGAGAGAGAGAGAGAGAGAGAAGCAGACTCTCCGCTGAGCAGGGAGCCCAATGCAATGCGGGGCTCATGCAATGTGGGGCTCCATCCCAGGACCCAGAGATCATGACCTGAGCCTAAGGCAGACACTTAACTGACTGAGCCACCCAGGAGCCCCAATCCCCACAATTTAAAACAAGAATTAAAAAATTCGCGTATGTAAAAATAGGGTGCCTGATATTTTTTAATGGAAAAGAGGAGTCTGAAGGGGAAATAGTTTCCTTGCTTTTTCAGAATAAAAACCAAAGACTTTACAATTGCCTTTAAAGCCCTAGATCTGTAACACCCTTTCCTCCCCAATATACTCCTGTGATTTCCTGGCCCTTCCTTGAGCACACCAGGCTCACTTTTGCTTGCCTCGGGGGCTATGCATTTACTCCCAAGATCTTCCTGGATCACTTTTTCATTATAAAGCCGCATAACTTTGTCCCCTCATCTCCTTCAGTTCTTTATTCAAATGTCACTCAAATGTGACATTTCCTTGGTTATTTAAATTGCAAACCCCCCCACCCTTTACATAATTCTCTATCCTACTTTGCTGCTTTATTTTTCTTCTTACTCTTAGCAACCTATAACGTACTTATGTTTGGTGTCCCCCACTAGAAAGTAAGCTTAATGAGAGTAAATAGTCTTGTTTTGTTAATTGCTGTGTCCTCAGCACTTAGCATAGAACTTACCATGCATTGGGTGCTCAACAGTTTTCTCCTTGTCATGAATTTTTGATCATGATTGGTTGTCCTTGGAGGTGTGGAATGAATTTTCACTAGGATTTTGTGAGGTACTCATTGGAAGAATTTGAGATTCTTTTTCTGTCATTTCTTGCCACATTTCTCTTTTTGACAGAAGTCCTGTGCTTTCAGGTCATTGAATGAAAGCACTTCGAAGGCAGAGTGGATGAAGCATAGGGGATCTTTGGTGTTGGTGGTCCTAGAGGAAGATTATATTAAGATCTCATGTGACTAGAATTTTTACCTCCCGCTTTAGGTTCCTCCCTTGATGTGTGTTCACTTCCCTGATGGAGACAGTTACCATCCTTACCTCTTTGGCCCCAAGGCACTGAACAGGCTGGTTCCCCTTTGAATTTTTCAGTAGACTGAAGATGTTAATATTTACAGTGTGGGCTCTATGGGTTATATTTTTTCCCCCATTCATGTAGAGCCAGTTGAGCTCAAAAACTATGAGAATAGCTATCTCTAACAATGATGGAGTGGTTCGTTCTGGGGAACATCTGATCCTTTTTTTCATAAATCCATTTTGGGGGGGGCATTTTTAGCAACTAAATTCTATATTAAGTCTGAGGAGAAAAGGAGCAGGCCTCCTGAATTCTGTGGGTTATCCCTCATTTATTTTTTCCTTTCTCATTTCTTGGTTGGCGCATTTGTTACCTTTGTTGACCTTCTGGCTAGAGTGGCCTAGATGAGGTTTCTCTTTGTGGCAGTCCTGGCCACTGTTCTCCAGCTTAGGAAGGCAAAGGGGGTTGAGATAGGGGTTTTAACATTTTGTGGGAATGCTGGTGGCAAAGCCTAAAGTTTTTGCTTAAACCTTTGCCAGGACATTGAAAGCTGCCAGGCCTATGAGAGAACAGTTTGTGGGAGGGTGGAAGAATTGGGGATCTTGTATCTGTTTGGACTGGATGTGGTTCTGATATTAGGGTAAAGAAGTAACAGCATCAGAAATAGATTAGTAGTTCTTATTTTGTTAATAATTTGACGTAATATAGGTAGTTTGATAAATATTTCTATTAAACTTCTGTTGTCCTCTTTTAAATCCTTTCACAGTCTACGGCCATACCACCCTGAACGTGTCCGATCTCGTCTGATCTCGGAAGTTAAATCCTTTCACAAATTTTCTAGGAAGTCTTTCTCATACTCTAGAGATACTTAAACATCTCTATACCATGTTCTCAGCTCTGATAGATAATACTGAGTACTGACAATCTTTCAGTGTAGGTAATGATTTCTGAATGATGCAGTGCTTATTCCTGTGCCAGATCTCTTTATGAACTCAAGGAAAGTTTTCAGGAAAATGCATATTTTTTTTTTAAAGATTTATTTATTTATTTGAGAGAGTGAGAATGAGAGAGAGAGAGAGAGTACATGATGGGGGGAGGGTTAGAGGGAGAAGCAGGCTCCTCGCTGAGCAGGGAGCCCGATGCGGGACTCGATCCCGGGACTCCAGGATCATGACCTGAGCCGAAGGCAGTCGCTTAACCAACTGAGCCACCCAGGCGCCCGGAAAATGCATATTTTGAGGAAGGGTTAAAAAGTGTTGCATTTTGGTTGCATGATCCCAGGAAGTGCAGAGGAGAGAATTTTGTGAAACTGTGTATGCTGTTTTTTTTTTTTTTTTTAAAGGTTTTTCTGTGCCTCCTTGTAAGACTGGATAAGGGACTCTGAGTGTCCTTGTGTGGAACGTGCTGCCAATTTACAACTAGGAAAAATAACTGGACTCATGGCTTGAATGTGTATGCATGAATACAGTTGGGTCTAATTTTAGAGACCTTCTTCATACACGGTGGCCTTAGTATTTTCCTCCAGCTGTATCCTTACTCTCTGTGTAGAAAACATTTAACTTAATAGTCTTTTAGTGGTTGGTTAACTTTTGTTCTTACCATGGTTGCTAGTTTATTTATTTATTTTTGTTGTAAAGATTTTATTTATTTATTTGAGTGAGAGAGCAAGAGCAAGAAAGAGAGCATGAGTGGGGTGAGGGGCAGAGAGAGAAGCAGACTCCCCCCTGAGCAGGGACCCTGGTGTGGGGCTCGATCCCAAGACTCCAGGATCATGACCTGAGCTGAAGGCAGACACTTAACCAAGTGAGCCACCCAGGTGCCCCCATGCTTGCTAGGTTAGCAGTGTAGCATGTGTCCCATCTTTCCAATGAAGTTACTCTGTCATTCCTTAACTAACTTTGACTTTATTTCTGAAAACAGAGATAGGAAAGATTTCTTAACCTTGATCTGTTTTAACTCCTTTTTGAGT